TATGTATGTATGTATATATAGATATGTACTTAGTATATGCAAATCTGAGCATAAGCTGAGATACATACATATATACATACATACATACATACGTACATACACACCAACCAAATGTTATGAATTGCATACATATAAATATATACATACCTGAGTAAACTTTCTAAAAATTTCCTTGAAATAAGAGTATACTTTAAGGTACACGCCATAAATATGTGTGTAAGTGTTACATATGTACATATGTATGTATATGTAAGTCATTCAAACATCAATATGTACATATGCATATGCTTACATACATGTATCTGTATGTATGTAAATTGTTACAGTGTTATAATAATCCAACTACTACTTGGCAAAAGGCATAACACACATCATAAAACGAAGTACTGCGAGAACAAGTCCGAACAAGACGAAGACCAAGCCATTTCCACACGAAGTCTGTGTGATCTCGCTAGCTGCGCTGCGCTACGATACGCTGCTGTCGATTGTCGTTGGCTGCCGCTGTTTGTAGTTTTAGTGCACAAATAGTGCTTTGGTAGGTCGGACGTGTTGTCGTTTGTGCGCGTGCTGTAAGAGAAAAGCATTGTTTCTTTTATACGAGAGAGCGTGAGAGAGAGTACGAGAGAGATTAAGAGAGGCAAAAGCCCGATCTCTCCGCTCGCAAAGTCGGAAAAAAGTTTTACCAATCAAGTTTTTTATTTCGCAATAATGTATTACATATAACAAAACTTCAACCTAGTTAAAAGTTACTGTTGTTGTTGCTGTTATTTTTATTGTTGTTGTGGACTTTTTGTATGTGTGCGGAACATACATACATGCATGTGGACTGCCATCGGTATGTGCATGTGTTGTTGTTTGTGGCATTAGCAAAAGCTAATGAAACTGTGAACTGTACGTGCGTTGCTTAAAAACAAGATCCAACACTCAAAAGAGAAATTAAATCTACTCTACAACTACAACTACTTTTATATTGAGTTTGAAAATCTCGTACAAATATGATAAACAAAAACAGAATCAGTTGCCCTATGTATATGAACGTGTGCAGATGCTGAAACTGAAAGTAATAATTAAATATACATATATATATAATTAATAAATACACAATATTATATTTGTGTGCGTGTGCGTGAGTGTACTCTGTCTTTCGATGCATAAGGAATAGAACGCGTTATTCACATCAACACTTCCACATTCAGGAATACATATATATTTGCGTATTTATGTGCATACACAATCTTTAACTAGACTGTGAAAGTGGAAAGCTCTGCTCAGTGGCGCACTTGTATGTATGTATGTGCAATAGTGTGTATGAATACATAAATATACATATACATACATACGTACATGCAGAAATACTACTATATTTACATATGTATGCCAGTGTATATGTGCATATTCAGAAAGTCTACAGAAGATTTTCCAGCTATTTGTGAAAGGGAGTAATTGCTACAGACTTAATGAAAGAGGTGAGTTAAATAAAGTGTGTTTATGTACGCATATATGTATGTACGTATACATAAAAATTATTTATTTATAACGAAATATACAAAATTTTGAAAGCAGCAAGTGAAAACATGTATGATCTACTTACATTAATTCACATTTACGATATTGAGCAATAGAGTATGACTTAAATTAATTAAAATATAAATGGTAGTATATAAATTCACACGTATCTATTTATTTATGTATGTGTGCATACAAAAAAACACTTACAAGGCCAAAATTCAAAACTGTTATAAAGAAAAGCAGACAAAGTTTCAATACAAAACTGCGCACACATACACTTGTATATACATAAATACATATGCATACTAAACATATTTCTATACATATATATTTATGCATGTATGTATGTATGTTTATATGTAAATGTGCAGCAGAGCCCAGTTTTCTGTATACCGTCCGATCGTCACGATTAACAGCGACAGCACAAACAAATACAGCAATAAAAGATCGCAACACAACGCGCACCCAAGCAAAAGAGACAAGAAAGGCTTAGTGACCTTCATAGCGTGCTTATATGAATGTATATACATATACAGACAGACA